AGAGTAAAAAAAAAAATCCTCTCTATATTTCTATTTTTTCTTTCTTCTTCCTTCTTTTACTTTTTTTTTACGTCTTTATTTTATTATGAAGAATAAAAAAACAAACAGAAAGGCCTCTTTATTTAAATATCACGACGCATGTCACGAAAAAAAAAAAAAATTTCAAAACAACCGAAAAAATTAAACGAAATCGATTTTATATTAAATTCACCCAAGTTGGTAGCTGGCCTGTGTTAAATTTTTGGTAGTAGTACTTTGGTAAATATTCGGGCGTTATATTAATAATAATAATAATTTAAGAGACTTTGGCAATCCGATTTTAAAAAAAATTCGACGGAAGGCGTTATTTCGGTGTCTTTACCAAAAAAAAAATAATAATAATAATAAAAAAAATAATGTTAACCACACCTGCTCTATTATAAATGTAAATAAAAATAGGTAATAAATTGTTTGCAAGAGTCGACTTCTTTTTATGGTTTGTGCCTAGAGGAAGTTGAAAATGTTGCGCATCTTGGTTTTTTTTTTTTTTTTATTATTAAACTTGCAACTTGGAAATTTTTTTTCTAAAAATTTTGGGCCCCGATGGGGAGACTCGTTTTTTTTTTGATATTCAACTATTTTTCGGACAGTTTTTTTTGTTTTTTCTATGATTTTTTTTTAATAAATTCAATAATATATCTTGCCGACAAATTTTTTTTTTTTTTAAGGACTCGTTTAGATATTTTGTTTCGTCGACTTTCGATACCATCGATCGTGATTTGGATTGATAAAAGATTAAATTGTTGTTGTTGTTTTTTCAAAAAGTGATTTTTTTTTTTTTTTTAACTTACGCAATTTCAAAACTCGAAATTAATGGATTGCTTTTTTTTTTAAATGAGTCGGCCTCTTTTTGTTTATCGACGTATTTTACGAAAATTAAAAATGCCTGAAATTTAAAAGACTAATAAAAAAAAAAAATTATCTAGAAAATTTCGTTGAGAAGTAAAAAAAAAAAAAAAACAACGACGTGGAATTTTCACTCTTCCGGTAAATAAAATCGCGTCGGTAAATTTATTTAGAAAAAAATTTTTTTTTTTTGTTTTTGATTTCTCATTTTTATCGCGAGTAAATTTTGATATGAAAATTTTCAACTTCTAAAAGAAAATATAAATTAAAAGTTATGAAAAAGAGAAAAAAAAGTAAAAAAAAAATCCGTCTGCCATTTTACCGTTTGGAAAAACTTTTTTTTTACAGAGCGACATCTGTAAGAAAAGCGTGAAATTAAAGAAAAAAAAACGTTAGGGAAAAAATAAAAGAAATTTTAAGTTGACCTTACGAAGCAATAGAAAATCTAACGGAAAAATAGATCATGTAACAACAATAAAGAGTTCATTGTAGTTTAAAGAATGACTGCTAGATGGCAATAAAACGATTCTTATCGGGAAAGTCATACTATGTATTTATATACGTATATATTATATATTATATATGTGTGAAATCGGAAACGAGAGTTTTTATCATCACCGTAATTAAACAATTCATTATAATTATTATTATTATTATTCCTACGAATTTTTTTTTCCGCTAATTAATTAGTCGCGAAAGATGCAATTTAATTAATTTTTACAAAAAAGCCAAATTACCTTTTTTTTTTTTAATAAAAATTATTATAATTTTTAATTTTCCTTAACAAAAAAAAAAAAAAATTGAATTTGTTTCAACGAAGAAATTAATTTAAATTTTTTTTTTTTGTTCGAAAATCGTAAGACCAATGTTATAACAACAACCAAACCGTGAAAAAAAAAATTACAATTTAAAATATTTAATTACGATCATTAAAAAACATTCAAAAACAAACAAAAGAAAAGAAAAGAAAAAAAAAGAAAATTTATAAACTTTTCTTTTTTTTTTTTAAATTTAAATCTTCGAGATGGATAAATTTCACGTGACAATTCTTAAATCAATGAGAAATGGGATAGAGGCCATTTTGGATGCTGAGTTATTGAACGTGGAAAACTTTTTTTTTTTTTTTTGCCAAAATGTCGTCTGCATTGACATCCCAAAATTTTTTTTTTTTTCCTTCATCATTTTTTTTTTTTTTTTTTTTTTTAAACAGAAAACAAATTAAAATATTTGAGAAATTTATTATTTACTTCTCCGGGGTTCGAACCGTTCGACTACAAAACAAACACGTTCTTTCCCACGGGGGGACAAAACAAACAAACAAACAAACGCCTCGTAAGAAAAAAAAATATCGAAAGAATAAAAAAAAAACGAGTTTGAAAATTTAAAATTTGACCGGAAGGTGAAAAAAAAAATTAATTATTTCCATAACATTACCATTATTATTATTATGACTTCGATTAATTAACCTAATGTTTAAATAATTAACCGAAAACAAAAATTATTAATAATAAAAATAAAAAAACACGTGCGTGTAGTCATTATTGACATAATCGCACGTGTTTAATAGGTGATAAATTCCTTAACTATTAACATATATATACATATAAAGTTTCCCCCACTGACCCACATTTTAAATTCATAATAAATTGATGGTGATAATAATAATAATGATAATAATAATAATAAAAGCGAACCAAAACAAATCGTTAAAACGAAAATAAAAATTTTATTTATTTATTCACCTTTTTATCTTGCAATCAAAACAACTCATTTGATGTTTTTCAATGAGTCGTTTAAATGACCATAAAATAAATTTAAAAACTCATAAAATGAAATCGAGAAAGTGCGAGAGAGATAGATAGATAGAGAGAAACAGAGAGAGAGAGAGAGAGAGAGAGATATTAAAGAGGCGGAAGTTTCACTTGCTGGAGAAACAACAACAACAACGCGAGCGAGCGAGCGAGCGAGTGAGTGAGAGGGAGAGAGAGAGAGAGAGAGAGAGATAGAGAGAGCGTGACTTTTTTTTTTTGTAATTTTATATATATATCCCCCTGGCGGAGAATCCGTGAATTTTTTTTCCTTTTTTCTCCCTAAATTTCCTTCCTGCGTTCTCATTGGTTGATTTTGTTTTTCTTTTTTTTTTCATCCATTCTTCGGGTTTGAAAAACTTCCGCTTGGCGCGAACGTGTCGGAATTTAAATTTCTCACCAAATATTTTATTTTATTTTTTTTGTTATTTATTTTCCTTTTTTCATTTTTTTTATTTTTTTTAGCGAGCGACGATCGAAAGTTGCAAAAAAAAAGTAATAAAATAATAATAACGATGATGATGATGATGATAATGATATTAATAGGATTTTTTATTTATGCGTTGTTCCTTTTGAAAATATCGACCGCGAAAAGAAAAAAAGCTTAAAAAAAAAGGCAAAAAAAAAAAAAATTTCTGGCAAGGCAAACATGAAATTTTTTTTTAATATTTTTTTTACTTTGCTTTGCTTTTACTTCTGGTTTAAATGTTACCATTGCGGCCTAAAAATAAATTTTAAGATCTGAAATAAATTAAATCGGCCGCAAGTATAAAAAAAAAACAAAAAAAAATTTGCCACCGTCTGGAATTTTTGTGGCTTTTTTTTTCTTTTTTTTGTCTGCTTCTAAAATTTTTGGTTAATTATTTATTCAAATATGAAATGATAATAAAAAAAAAAACAACAACTACACGTCGACCTTTTTCTTTTCCACCTCCCACTCCCCCCCCAAAAAAAGAATGTTTAAGTCAGCCGTCATAAAACGACAGAAGAAAATATACGTGCTGCTGCGTAAAATAATTTTAAATTATCGATTTCATACATTTTGCGTTAAAATTACAATGACAAAAAAAATGAAAACAACTGGAAAATGGCAGCGGCATAATCGGCGACGGCGTCAACGACGACAACAACAACAACAACAACAATGACGACATCGACAAAAAAATTTTTCAACTTCATTTTACCGAAAAATGTAATTATTTCTAAACGATAAACCGTTTCGTTTTTCTTTTTTTTTATTTTATTTTTATTTCGATTTTTTTTTTTTTTTAAAAACTTTCAAAAACAACAAAATAAACAAAAGCTTAAAAGCTCATGATGTTCATTCATTTATCTCCCTTTTTAACCCTAGGCCGCCGAAAAAAACAAAAAAAAAAAATTTTAACGTAACTTCCCAGCTGAAGAATTTTTCTGTCGGTTCAATGATTCAAATAAAAATTATTTTGATTTATTCAAACGTGACGACGACGATGATGATGATCACGATGACGACGATCACGATCACGATGACCCAATTTTTAATTTTTTTATTGTCAAAAAAAAAAATCCTACAAAAAAAACTGTTTCGTCATCGTCATTATTATTATTATTATGGATATTGCGCGAAACGCACGAACGTTATGTCACCGCATAAACAAAAACCGGAAATCCGTTGATACTTTTGCCAATTTCCCCCTCTCATTTTTATTAAACCGCGAAAAAAAAATTTTTCTTTTGTTTTCAAAGAACCTGAAGAATCTCCCCTCCCCCCAAAAAAAACCCGGGGGGGAGGTATTATGCAAACAAAAAAGTAAAATTATAAAACTAACTTTTTTTTTTATACGTCACGTTTTACTCCCGAGGTGTTGTACCTGACTTTGGAGATGATGATGATGATGATGATGAAGAGAGTCAAGAATTTTAGGTATTCAACATGAATAGTGGAATTAAAAATTCGCAGAGTGAATGTAACAATGTGAAAAACAAATGGCGGTTCCTACCGAACGAGAAGGAATTCTAATTATACAATTGATAAAAAATTTTCTTTTTAAAAAGATTTTAACGCGCGCTAAAACTTTGATCCTCCATTTTGTCTCCTCATTTATTCTGGTACGGAAATTGTGGTGTGGTACCCGTCAAAGTTTATAAAGAAATTTTCGTAGTACTCATTCATTTATTCGTTTTTCTCATGTAATCACTTCCTAAAAATGTCTTCCGAAAGAATAATAATAATCAAAAAGAGACGAAACAACAGAAAACATTTGACGTCACGAATTCATTGCGAACGTTTTTCTTTTTTACTTTCTCTTCAGACGAAAAAAAAAAAAGAAAAGGCATTAAATTTTTATCGTTGGGTGATAAAAAATATATTTTGCATAAATCATCGAATAATATTACGAAAGACAAAGAAAGAAAAAAAAAATTTTTTTTTAACGAAAAGAAAAAAAGAAATGCAGAAATCTTCTTCCTCTTCTTTTTCATCTTCTTCATCTCCTTCATCATCAAAGTCATACATCATCCGGAAGCCATTAAAAAATAGGTGGAACATTCCAAAGACGAACAGTTTTGACGGCTTTGAAAAACGATAAATTAAGAAGTTTTGTTTCGCACACGTTTAACTTATATAATAATAAAATTGATTTATTTTCTTTTTTTCACTACTGTCACCCTGCATCATCTTAGGAGGAGATCCAATTTTTTTCGGCCCTTCCTTTATCGTGATGGCGTCTTTCTCTCTTTATCTCTCTCTCTCTCTTTTCTTTTTTAAATTTCATTTTTGTCACTTTTTTCTTTTTTTTTTTTTTCATCAAATCAATTTTTTTTTTTTCTTTTCTACGCTAGAGTGATTTATATATTTCATTTCTTTTTCCCCTTTTTTTTTTTCTTTAAAATTTCACACAAACGTTTTTTATTTCCTTTGTCGAGAGATGAAAAAAAAAAAGCAAAACGACGGGGGGAGAAGGGGGAGGGGAGAAGAAGACGAATTTAAAAAAAAAATTTTACCGTTACAATTTTTTTTAATTCGTCACGCTTTTCGTTTTTTCTTATCACTGAAACCATATTAGCCTTACATTAACGATCTAAAACGACTACATTAATTCCAAAAAAAATTTTTTTTTTTTCACATCGTCAACCGACTCGTCGCCATTTATTCATTTTCTACGTCACCATCACGACGACGAATATTAGGAAGAAGATTCCAATGAGTGACATATTAAAAAAAAAAAAAGGAAATTATTTACTCACCCGACAAAGGGAAATTCTTTCAAAATATTTACCTCGTTTCTTAAAAGTCTCTTTATCTCTCTCTCTCTTACGATAATAATAATAATTTATTTCCGATCCGGTAGCACTCACTGAAATTCTTTCACATTTACGTGGAAAGAAAAAAAAACAAGATTCGAATATTCGTGGGGGTCATCAAATAAAAATATTTACGATTAAAAAAAAAAAAAAAAAAAAAAAAAAAAACCAAAACTAAAAAAAAAGGGGTAAAAATACCAGGCGATACCACATTTTTATTATACCACCATTCTGACCAGTTAAAATAAATAAATAAGAATTAAAAAACAATAAAAATATTAAAAAAACAGGTTTTTTTTTGTTATAAGTGAGTCATTTTCGAGCAGAAGAACAAACATCCATCCTTTTCGTACCGTGCGAAAAACCCTTTGCAAAAAAACAAACGAAAGATACTTCTTCTCGTTATGATAAATGAGTTTTTTTTTTTATTTACCTTGACCCATGACCTTTTTTAAATCTGACACTTACAACCAATGAAAAGTTTAAATGTATACAAAACATTTTGCACGTTTATAACCGTTTGTTATACGCACGTACTCACACGCAAACGCGCGTATATTTTAAATTTTTTATGACTTCTTCTCCTCCCCCCTCTTTCTCCTCATCATTATCATACGTAATACTCCAGTTCGTTCTTTTATTTATTCATTCATTCAATTTTCTTTTTTTTTTCATTTAATTTAACGTTCGTACATTTCCAGTCGTTTTTATTATTTCTATTTTATTTTTTTTTTGTTTTTGGACAACTCTGGAAAAATAAACAATAAAAAGAAAAGAAATATGAACGAAATAAAATTTATAGATATAAATTTATAAATATATATATCTATAAAAATCGTAGAGTGAGAAATAAGGGTGAGACGGCGATATACAAAAAAAGAAGAGTGGAAGAAGAAGACCGGAGGTAGTACGGAGTGGATGAAAAAAGTAAGAAAAATGGAGAAAGAAAGAGAAGTGGAAAATAAGAAAAATAAACGTGGTATAAGAATAAAAAGGAGAGAGGGGAGAAAAAAAAATGCAAGTTAGCAAAAGAAAGTTTATCAAGAAAAGCTATCAAAACCCGAAATTTATGGGAAAAAAAAGAAAAATTCAAATTAAGTCGATTAATCATTTTGGATCCCTAAACGAAAAACTAATTTAGAATTCTCTCCCAGAAGAAATACAAAACTGGAGAAGAAGAAGAAAAAAAAAGTGAGAGAGAGAGAAGAAAAAAAAAAGAGAGAAAAAAAAGAAGAAAAAAAAAATTATTATTATTATTCTAAGAAGATTTATTATTTCCTTTATCTTATTTACTGGCAATATTCTTCTAAATTTATAAAAATATACAGGTTTCATCTCCAAAACGTGATAACTGTTTTCTTTTTTTTTTTTCATCTCTCTCTCTCTCCTTCTTTTTTTTTTCTCTATCTTTCTTTCTCTCTCTCACTCTTTCCTTTTCCTTTTTTTTCCATTCTTCTCTGTTCCCTATCCCATTATTTTTCTTTCAAGCCTGGAAATTTTTATTTTTACCCTCCAGTTTATTTTTTTTTTTTTGCACAACATATTTTTTATAAAGTTTAATTTCTTTTTTTTTCTTTTTTTTCTTTTCATTCTTTCTGGAAAAAATATCAACTACGATTTCCATTATTTCATCCATCCTTCCTTTCCAGTTTCCCCTTCCAGTTTTTTTTTCAAAAAAAAAAAAAATCATTATTATTTTTTAAAATAATTTATCGACCGACTCTTTCTCCACAACGAATTAACATAAAGAATAAAAATAAAATAATTTAATTCAATGAATTCCAAATTTTAGATTGATCGTTTCTTATCAGTTAGTGATAACAACATTTAATTTAATTATTAAAATTAATGACGAGTAAAATGATATAATTATAGAAGTTTAAAAAAATTTTCAAACCGACGACAACTTTTACTTTTATCATTTTATCCGAGTAAAAAAAAAAACTTAAACTCGCGTTAGAAAAATAATTTTCCAAAATTTTTTTCTTTCCAAAAATAATAAAAAATTATGGAAAAACCTGGAAAAAAATTGTCGTCTCTTCATCATTTCAAATAAATAAATAATATTTTTATTTTCGAACCTCAACCGTAATTAATTCTCGTATTATAAATTATAAAATTGACATTGAACGATCAATGTAATAAATTTTTCGACTTGTTCCAGATTAAAAAAAATTTGTTTATATTCGTTCGCTCGTTTTTTCGTTCGTTCATTCATTCATTCAATCAATCAATCATTTTTTTGATTTATGTATTTTTAATTTAAATCGATCCCGTATTTTTTTTTTATAAAAAAAAAAAAAAACGTGACGGAGAAAATAGTTGGAAAAAGTTTTAACTTTTTCCAGTCGTTTAATTACGTCACTATAAAATCCCGTTCGAAAGTGTAAACCCCCCACCCGCTCTCCCCACTGACAAAGGCGACGATTTTTACCGCTCTACGGAAAATTGAGTTAACATTTTTTAAATTTTAACCGTAATGAGATGTATTTAAAAAAAATATATAAGACTTCATTTCAAGTTAATCCATACATTTTCCGCAGGTACAAAATCTCTTTTTTTTTTGCGTTTTCATTTTCAACTTGTTTCGAGAAAATAAAAGAAAACGGATAGCATGGAAAAAGAAAGAAAAAAAAAGTATAACTACGGTAACCGAGAAAACAGGGAAACCAACAACGAGGATGAAAAAAAAAAAAAATTTTTTTTAAGTGGAAGAAGACAACCGAGTAGAAATGCAAAGACATATTA